GGGGACAGACCTGTCCCCCAGTGTAATGCGGGGACAGACCTGTCCCCACCGGTACTGTCCCCCAGTGTAATGCGGGGACAGACCGCTCCCCACCAGTACTGTGCCCCGTGTTATACAGGGATGCACCTGTTCCCACCAGTACTGTGCCCCAGCGTTATACAGTGACAGACCTGTCCCCACCAGGACTCTATCCATGTTATATTGTTCTAAATTCTCTTTACATGTTTTATAGAGTCATATAGGCATTGCAGTAACCATTTGGTTTATTATTTCACAGAATGACTCTCACTCAGATGTGAATCCTTGTGATAACTACATTACATTGTACTATTCATGTATAAAAACCTAACACTCCCCAATATGGCTGTGATCTGCTCTGCAACATTTAAGTTAACTTTCTGGAATTAACCTTGACGAATTTAGCTTCTTCAGTCCAAGAGGCAACTACACTATTGTTACATCCAGTCAAGGTCTGAACAGGAGGCACTCAGCTCAATAGGCTCCTTCCTGTTAATTTGTGCTTCATGTAACAGAAATACGGAGGGGAGGATTGTCCTCCCCTCACTCTCCAGAATCTCCTCAATGCCACTGAATTAAACGTCTGTGTATTATCACTTCAGGACAGGGCTTCCTCACACATTCTGTCACAGGTTCCTTCAATCCACCTGCCTGACCCTCAGCCAACAGTACAGTCCCCTCACTTGCTGGATGTGATGTTCTGCTGTTGCTGTTCAGCCAGTGCTTGCTGCAGCCTCACTCGTTTCCGTGAATAATGTTGCCAGTGCAGTAATTGCTGCTCGTCGATGAATTTGGCACACTGCGCATTGACCAGCTCTTTGCGGAAGTGCTCATACTGCAGCAGTTCCAGCATGTGGAGGCACTGGGGGTACCTGTGACAGAAACAGACACTGAGACACAGACTGGCAGAGAGGTCTCGATGGAGGCTGCAGGGAGAGGAGGAAAGTGTGGAGGAAGCGTGGGAAAGAGACGAGGGAATGAGGAGGGAACTTCAAGAAACACTGGGGAAACTTGCAGAAGTACAGGCAGAAATACTCTGTATCTAACCCCGTGCTGTCCCTGTTCTGGGAGTGCTTGATGGGGACGGTGTAGAGGGAGCTTTACTCTGCATCTAATCCCATACTATCCCTGTCCTGGGAGTGTTTGATGGGGACAGTGTAGAGGCAGCTTTACTCTGTATCCAACCCCGTGCTGTCCCTGTCCTGGGAGTGTTTGATGGGGGTGCTGTTCCTCACCCTTCTGAGATTTACTGTGACAGATTGAGTTGTATAATTTACCGGAATGCATTTTATCCCAGTGAACAGCAAATGCCTTCAGGCAAGGAATGGAACGTACAGCATTTGGAGTTATCCTGGATAAGAATCATAGAATCCCTACAGTATGGAAACAGGCCCTTTGGCCCAACAAGTCCACAGTGGCCCACAGAGCATCCCACCCAGACCCATCCCCCTAATCTAGGCATCCCTGAACACTACGGGCAATTTCCCATAGCCAATCCACCGAGCCTGCACATCTCTGGACTGTGGGAGGAAACCCACGCAGACACGGGGAGAATGTGCAAACTCCACACAGACAGTCGCCCGAGGGTGGAATCGAACCCGGGTCCCTGGCGCTGTGAGGCAGCAGCGCTAACCACTGAGCCACCGTGGATATTGATCCTACGACAAAGATTACTGTGAAGAACTGTCCAGTGGGGGTGGATACTTACTTCAGGTACTTGGCATATTCCGGCTCCTTCCAGTACAGCAGATACTTGAAGTAATTGACAAATGTTCGGTCTCTGAAGTACCCTCGTTGTGCCAGAACTGCCACATTGAAACAAGAAGACAATTATTGTATTGTCACCAGCACTAAGGTAATCTTGAAGAGAGAACGACACTGTCACCTAGGGAGTACCATCCCAGGGCATGGGAGGCAGTTCCCTGTCATTACAGACATTACTTCATCAAAGTGAGTGGGACTATTACACTCTTCAAGTGCATCGCATCTAGTGCTGGGCCACACCTCACTGGAGCAGACACTTTGGTGCTCAGTGCCTCCTGCACTTCCCCTTCCCTACCTAAGGCTTCATTTCAAGTTACATCAGAAGAGACTCACTTCCCTCTCAAACAGTCTCTATCTATGGGTCCAAGTCTGGTTCGATGACAGACACGCTTCAAGAGGGTGACAATAACACTGATCTGCTGCCTAATGCAGAAAAGAGAGAGACACCTGTCGGTAGTTGAAATGAAGCTCAGTGATTTCAACTTTACAATGTTATTGCTGTAAACAGCAACTTGACAATTGCCCAGGAGGATCCCACTGACACTTACAGTTCAGATAGTTTGGGTTCGCCAGACACTGTACAAACTCGAGCTCCATCTGAAATCGTAGTTTTGCCTGTTCCTCTGAGAGGAGGGGGTAAAGAGAGAGGAAAAGGACAAGTTACTCATTACCTTAAGGCATAAATTCAACCCAAGTCATTACAAATAAGATAAAACATAAAGTAAAATGATTTTTGATTGAGAAGGGGGTTTATGGGTTAAGGTCAGACAGGCAAGTCGAGTTGAAGCCTCAGTCAGATCAGCCAGGGTCTTACTGAAAGGCAGAGTAGGCTCGAGGGTTCAAATGACCTCTTCCTACTGCTATTTTTTTATTTTGCAATAAAGGAAGTGGCAGCCAATGTACACATGGCAAGCTTTGCAGGACAACGTACTATCATTGCGGCATAACTTCAAATCCAAACAATAAACGTGGATCATATCTTCTGCAGGAATTCATTTGGAAAACATCTTATTTACCTTCAGATAAAACAAAAAAAAAACCTGTGAATGCTGGAAATCTGAAAGAAAACAAAAAAATTGCTGGGGAAACTCAACACTTCAGAACTTCTGAAGAAGGATCACTATACTGGAAATGTTAACTCTGTTTTCTCTCCACAGATGCTGCCAGACCTGCTGAGATACTCCAGCTATATGTTGTAGTCTTTTTTTTAAATCTTGTTTTACGATAGTTTGAATCCATTGTGTGACTTAATCACATGGAGATTGATGACCTTGAATACGAAAGATCCAGTTCAACGCTTGATGCAATGTTTAAATATACCACCAGA